GAGACCATGGTCCTCACAGCCCTCTGCCCAGCAGTTCAGTCCCTCAGGGAGTTTGGATGTGTCTGTGGAGCTTCCATGGCCTTTCCTTGTTCAAGTTGCGCTGGCTTCCCCAGTATTGTGTACTGTCTTACCCTTCACCAAAGTTACCGCTTATCCATTGTCTGTTTCGTATTTACCTCCCCACCTCTCCCATCCCTTGTAACCAACAAAGATGGTTACTTTTTGTGTGTGAACTTTTTCATGAGTTTTTATAATAGAGGTCTTATACAATATTTGTCCTCTTGTGATTGCCTTATTTCCCACAGCGTAATGTCCTCCAGTTTCATCCATGTTATGAGTTGCCTCACAGATTCATCGTTGTTCTTTATCGTTGCATAATACTCCATTGTGTGCAGGCATCTAGGTTGTTTCCATCTTTTTGCTATTGTGAAAAATGCTGCAGTGAACATGGGTGTGCATAAGTCTATTCGTGTGACGGCTCTTACTTCTCTAGGATATATTCCTAGGAGTTGGATTGCTAGGTGGTATGGTATTTCTATTTCTAGCTTTCTAAGGAGGCACCATATCATTTTCCAAAATGGTTGTATCGTTATGCATTCCCACCAGCAATGCATAAGAGTTCCGATCTCCCCGCAGCCTCTCCAACATTTGTTATTTCCAATTTTTTGATTCGTGCCAGTAATGCTGGAATGAGATGGTATCTCATTGTGGTTTTAATTTGCATTTCTCTAAGGGCTAGTGATGTGCCAGCATTTCCTCATGTGTCTGTTGGTTGCTTGAATGTCGTCTTTGGTGAATGATATCATTTTCTTAAATCACCTGAAAGAATAATGTTTTATTTATTCAACTAAAAAAACCATAACTGAGTACTAATGAAAATTAAATAACTTCCCCATCTTGGAATTGCCTGTTTTTGACTTTTTCCATGGTTAAATGAAATATAATTTCTAGGATTTTGTCACTGGTTAGTTCAAGAAGTCCATAATTTTATGGCTTATTTGTACTTACAACTTCTGAAGTCCTCTGGTGGGTACCCAAAGTCCAGTGCTTTCTAGGTTGATGTAGAAAAGGACTCAAGCTGTATTATACCGTCTCCTTTTATAAATGAGTTACCATTTTTGGAATGTTAACTCTAACCTGTAGTTAGTATTGCTTGGGTTTAATATGCAGTCAGTACTCTAAAGTTACGTTTAAAATGAAGTATTTGTGGGGTAAGTGTAAAAATAAAAAAACCCTACTGCATTTCATAGGTAAACTGAATAATATCTGATACTCACCATACTGTCTACTTCATTGTGGGAACACCTCCTCCCTCGCCAATCTGAAAAGTATTCTACAATGTTAGGTCCCTGGATGGTTCAGGAAACATAGTCTGTACAGTGTGTTTGTGTTGAACGTTTGTAAATTTAAATACAGTAAGATAACCATAATAAATGTCACAATTCAAGTGAAAACATAGAGTGCTTAGCATTCAACAGCAAAAGAACTTGAGATTTTTGAACAGTTGGGGAATAGGAATTAGTAAACAGCTTTACTATAATGCATAGAGGAGAGAAAGAATAAGAAAGTCCTCTTTATAAGAGGTTTGATTTGATTAGTAACAGCTGATTTGTCAGCATTTGGATTGAGTCATGCTAAAGAAGCAAAACTTTTCTTTCAAAATGGAAAGTAATTTGTATGTTTTATGGTTATTTCAGACAACTTAGGATTTGTTACAACTGGTTTAACTGCAAAAAAAAAAAATGAAATTTATAAATGGTGAAAATAACAGTAGTGAGTGCTTTGACTTCTTGGCAACCAGAGTGTTTGAGACTGAGATATGACAATATCTAAGGAGCCCTGGGGTGTAACAGTTAAGCACTCAGCTGCTCACTGAAAGGTTGGTTTGAACCCACTCACCTGCTCCATGGGAAAAAGAACTGACCACCTATCTGCTCCCATAAAGATTACAGCTTAGAAAACCCTATGGGGTAGCTATACTCTGTCACGTGGGGTCTGTGTATTGAAATTGACTCAGTAGCACCTAACTAACAACAGCAACAGAGCTCTCCTGGTGTGGGGATGAAGAGGAGAGTAAAGTGGTGGTTGGGGGGTAGCGGGGAGAACTGGCTAGCAGGCACTCAATTTCACATTGCTACATTAACCATTTAGATCAGGGGTCAGCATTTAACTATGGGTCAAATGCAGTTTGCTGCCTGTTCATTTTAAATAAAGTTTTATTGGAATACAACCATACCCATTCATTTAGGTATTATCTAAACCAATGGGAAAGTT